TATAATTGCAGGGCCAGGGGGAGTAGTGGGAAGGCGGATGATGTGCTCTTGTTGGGTAGGTGTGGTGGGGAGTCAAAAAGCGGCCGAAGAGGCTAGGGTAGGCGGAGGAGTGGGAGGAAGTATGGGGGTCGGCGGGAGGACGGAGCGATAAGGTAGCTAGGGGGAGGTTGAGAGGATCGAAGATCCTAAACCGGAAAAAGGCATAGAAGCGAAGGCCGGCCCCCTAATGGGAGATGTTGAGGGTGGCCTATCTGTCATTGGCGACTGGAAGAAGAGGGTGATGGAAGACCTCTGCATCCCAGCGACAACATGGCCGGAATAGTCGAGGCCGACCTTCGCGGGGAGACCAGTGAAGTCAGCCACGTTGACCAGAAGGAGCATTGTCAGTTCGCTGGTTCGTGCGTTCTTCCGTCCATCTGTTTCTGTGCGTTCCCTCGTCCGTGTAAAAGTTTCACGGATGCGCTTTTGAGAAACGTAGTCAATTCATTGGTGGAAACTGCGCACGGTGGACTTGCATTGACTCCTAGTTGGGAACACTACCGTCAAGCGTCAAGGTGAGTAATGCTGCAACCAGTGACTGACTCATCACCTCCCGATTTCGGGGTTAGTGGGAAATATGACGAATTTTTAAGTGGTTTTGTGGTGTAGTTGTATCTAACACCATGATTTTTGGTTGAAACACATTGACTCCTCACCTACCAAACCAAACTTAGCCACTATTCGCGGGGGCCGAGCTGCACACCTCCCCTCCTTAGACTGCCCCTACCCCCCACATCAAGCACATTCTTAACACCCTGCTTCCCACTATCCCAGCCGAGCACCTAATTGCCGCCCAACCGTTTCCGCAGCTCGGTCAACACACTCAGGCACGCACCCCGTAGAGCCTCGGTATCACCACAGCGAAAAACATGTCGGTATTGATACCCGACATTAGGATGTTAGTCGGGTTCGAGGGAATAGTCAGCTCCCGCTTACCCCACTTCTTCGAGTAGATGGGTGAGAATTAGAGGTGTTGACTGCGGAGAGTCCTATACGTCGGGTTCACTTTATGCGGGGTGGCGGCCTCCGCCATCAGAGACTCTGTCTGGCCCCTTACCGATGGCGGAAGTCAGATGTGAGATGTCGCGAACCGACCGACTTCAGTGAGCGGGTTAAAAATATTCGACCGTTGGATGAAGTGAAACGAACGAGTGATCGGTTATGACGGAACGAAAACGAAAATACCGATCGAGGGACGATGAGCTACTGTAAGCACGAAAAGCTCTGCAAGACAAAAGTGGGGAAGGCAACTCTCTCACACATTCAACCCACAACTTGACTTTTGCACACACTAACTAACGGAAAAGACAGGGGTATATACTTTATCAACCACGACAAACGTATCCTCCAAGCCTTCCATCCTTCTACCGCACACCACAGATTTCTGCTCTCGTCCACGCAAGTTCCCATACTCCATGCTCACTCGCATGCTGGCAAAAGAAAGACAAACTCTACAAAGACACCCACTACTCCGCAGCCTCCCGCTATCCATATCTCCTGCGAACGAGGGAACCGTGACCGAGCGAGAGAACGGATAAACGGTGAACGACGGAAACAAAGCGCGAACGAACCGCCCAATATACTCGCAATCGTCAACTAGTTCAGGAACGAGCGAAGGTGATTAGGCAGTGTAGTAATTATGCTTCCTGCTAAAGCCTAAAATGGGATTGTGTGGTCACTGACACTCCTATCCCGTGAGTGGCTGGTCATATCTGTGGGTTTGTGGTGGTAACAGAGACGCGTGGAGGAGTAGTAGTACCCAAACCCTCAAACTCTCCCTCGCCAGTTAAAACCCCTACCACCTACCAAACACCAATTCTCCAAGTATGGTGCTGGCCGTCTATAACGTTCCCCAAGTCTATTGCAACGGGGACGCAGGCTTGGAATGCGACAGCAGGTTAAATGGGTGCTGTTGTGTCATCGTAGGGTTATTACCCAGCTTTCACGGTATGATAGCACTAAATTAACCTGCGTCCCCGTTGCAATAGACCTGGAGAACGTTATAGACGGCCAGCACCATACTCGTACAATTCTTTGGTACTATGGTGGCAAATTTTGTGAAAAGACTATCATGTGAGTTATGTCAAAGGCCTTATTAGAGTCTTGGAGTACGAAGGTTACCAAGTTGGTGCTAATCCTTTACTCAGCCACCCTCGCGAAATATGCCGTACCAATTGCGGGAGTGATTGACCCTTGCGGGGTCTCGGGGATAAATTTTCCTCGATTCTCATCTCGACCGGAAGGAAGCGAGACTCGTAAGGGAGGACTAAATCCCCCATAGTTGTGGCAGGCCGGGCACGGCTTCGGTTCAGCCTGGCCTACCTGGCCCGTTGGGAATACTGCGCGCAAATATCCCCTTCTACCATACCATATCACACTGTCAGCAAAGTACGGTATGTCCTCATACCAACCGACATTTTGTTAGGTCAATTTTAGGGAATTTTTAATACTTACAAAGCTATATCATCTTGCAGATGTTGGCAGGGCTCGTATATTGCAGGGTTCGAGGAAGTAGTAATGCCAAGGGGAACCGTGAAACAGTTGCTGAATGCTTGACAAAGGCAATCCCAACAATATCACCAGTTCAAGTCGGGTCGCCCAGCAGGCCTGAAATAGTTTATTCCAACGATTCCGGCCGCGGGATCCTAAATAAGCTACAGGAGATGGAGGAAAATATCACAAGTCTGCGGGAAAATATCACAAGTCCGCAGGAAAAGATCACAATAATGGGACCTCTTCAGGTGACCGCCGTGGGGATCAGAAAGCGATTTTTCGCAACACCACGAAGGAGGGCAGGGATGGAGAGAGTCGGTAGCGGGAAATCTATTCGAGAGGGAAACGATATTGCGCACGGTAGGGATGTGGTTACCGATATCTGCCTCTTGAAAAATGGCTTGATAGAGTATCACCAAACCTTTACCTATTCGTACGGCTTGGACTGGAGAGCAGCAATGCAGCTGATTGGTAAGCTGATGAATTTTTTCTACATGCCCTAGTGTGTGGTAATTTCCAACAGTATCAAGGAGGGATAACGCTTAAGTTTTGTAGGTTCCACGAGGAGAGGTATGCTGGTAGCAGGGGGTCTGGGCAGCATGCCTCTCTTGTAGAACATGCAAAATTTAAGCGCTGTACCTCCGTATCATAGGCCATCCTCATATTGTTTTCGCAATGAACCGCCGTGCAAGCATCCTGCATGATAACCCCAGTTAGACTGGGCAGGACGACTTCGATTACCTAATTACATGGACGCGGACGGCCTCCTCCAATGATCTTGCTGCATTTGCTGCTGATGGGGTTGGTGCGACAGTCGCCAAACGCAAGTTTCTCCGCCTAATGGCGGGCGGATCATAAGTGTTCTTGTTCTTGATATGGCGGCCCGTGGGCTTCTATGTCGCAGTAAGTGAATGAAAGGGTTTGCTTTTATTTTTCTGTTTTCTGATGGGCTTTTGTGATACTCTGGGTTTCCGAGATGCTGTTTTGTTGTTGTTTCACCCTACTAAGAATAGTGTTGTTTCTGTTGTGTCGGCAGACTTGACGATTATGCTTTGGGATTCTGAGGATAGTATTGCTTCTGTTGCGTCTGCAGACTTGGTGATTATGGGTTAGACGGCGATGGGGGTACTCGTACGTTTTGTTGTTCGGTACCATCAGGTGTAATCCTTCTAAATAGGGGAATGACGGTTGGAACTTCCTTGGTGTGGTAATTGCTCTTACTTGTGTTGCTATCACCGGCATTGATGAGCGCGGGGAATGCTTCTTCCCTTATGCATTATCGATAGCCCATTCTACTGTTCTCACTATTCTAATGAGAAAGCCGTACAGGGATAGTCTTTTCCAATCCCCTTTTAGAGGGTTGGACAATCGCAGAGTTGAAGGTGTTTTTTTATGGTCTGTGAAGTATCTGCTGGAAAGCCGCTACGGGAGCGGAATAGCTTTCTTGGTTCTTGTTGGGTGAGTTCAGTGAAGGAGGGCAGATTGTGGGGTAAGCCTTGGCCAGTAACTACTAGTCTCATACTATACTCAATATTTACCTAGTGCTTCCCCAGCCCCGGTTCGACTTTCACCAGTTTCTACGGAATCGTCCTTCAAGTGCTTGAGGTAACCTCACCCTTCCAAAACTACTAAACAATGGCAACACTCAGAAGAAGGAAAAAAGAATACAAGTAAGAACCTCGAGTGACTGCCCATGAGCATAATATTATGATAGCTTCCGGCCACAAAATTAAGTTCCGACCTCACACATGGGTTAGGGCTTTGGAGGGGTCCTTAAGCTACTCTGGTACAGTATATCCCCTGAGATAACCACCACAAAACTCCACCCACCCTCTAGTGCCAACTACCACAACAACACCGAGACTTAATACTGACAATGCGCCCCCTCCCACGCATACACACCCCCCTGACCCACCAATTTCCCAAACCCCTGCCACTTCCGCCGGAGCGCGCACAACCCCGCCGACGACCCAAACTTCTTCTCCATAGTCAACCAACAAACAACACTTGTCCGTGCCGGCATGAGGAAATACTGCCCGGGCCTACTAAACCTCGCGGCAATCCCAATAACAGCATTTGCCCTCTAAACCTATCAAATCCAGCGCCTCAATTGAAAAACCGAGCCCATAACACGATGTACTGATGGCCTGTTGTCCGCGCCACTGCCGCTGCCGTCGTGTGTGGGCGTCGCGCAGATCCCTTCCTTCAGTTACCACCGTGTCCTCACGACCGGGTGCTTCCGGCACGACCAGGAGATCCTGATCGCCCCGCGGATATACGAAGGACAGGACAGGTGCCCAGCTGTCACCACGCTGGAGCACACAGGCAGGGACAGCAAGGAATTGGCCAATTGGGGGTAGATATCGAAGGAGAAGAGCCTGTATAAGGAATGCGATGCAGCCAGTCTGCCCGCGGGGGAAGTCATGGTGGGGGAGTTGAGTAGGACTCCCGGGAAAAAGAATATTTTCATGCCTGATAACCTGCCGGAGAAGGAGGACTTCTATTTCCAGGATATAGAGCAGAGGGTATGGTATAGTTTGGCAGCGCTCAGCTGCGCCGGATCGAGCAGACGCTTGGGCCGGATTTTGCGGTTGCAATAGGAAATATAGAGAAGGGAGTGTCCATCGCTAGAGCTGCTGAGGTGAATCTGAGAAACAACCATATGCAGAATATCATTACTTGGTACACCCCCCGCCTCCCCCAGTCTGGAAAGAGGTGGGTGGTGCTACTGATTCAGTTCTAGGTACGGCCTCACCCTCGCCACCTCTGTAATGTTTTACATCCCCGTTCGCAAACCCCTGCTAGACGTTTCAAAGAGAGTCAGGCACAGTACCGATTGGTCTTGAATGACAATAACAGAAAAAAGAGAATACCATTATCCATCGCATTTTTTGTTTCATTATTAGATATCAAGGTTCTGTGAATCTACTCATTCACCACCACTTTATCCCTGTATTCTTCTTCGACGGCTTGCAAGCTGGGTCTTTTCCGCTGCCACCGGAGGGGTTGAGCCCTACCCACGGGCATGCAAATCCCATCCAGCAGCTTGCAATATTTTCTACAGACCTGTGTTATTACATTCCTGGTAAACTATGGCTACGATTGGAAGCAAGTTTCATGGAGTAGGTCATTTTTTACAAATACCGGAGAATAGAGAGTTTGCGCAGACAGACCTAGGTGTGAGTTATTACCAATGTCGCTAGGGGTTGCCACTCCGACCAACAGCCCATCAGACCCCCGACAATTGTTGCGCTGCTTACACTCCATCCATCTGAGAGGTCAATACACTAGCCAATTCTTAACTTTCTCGTAACTTCTCTTGTCAGGATTGTCCTTGAGAAGAATGGCCACAAAATCATACCTAAATAGAGGCATAAAAGTGCAGTGTGAGTGGTCATTTGTGGCCCTCAATTCCATGTCTAGTTTTTGAGTTTTTACACCTCGACCGAGTGAGACTAGAGAACCAGGTAGCCAAGCCTTGCTAGTAACTTATATTAACACCACCCAGGTCTCACTGCGCGAACTCTCTGATTGCAACCTCCGGTACTCATGTGTATACATTCTCCGATGAACACTACGCCACTTACACGCAGCATTGTATCATACGATATAATAAAAATTGAGAAGTGATTACTACCAGCAGTGGAGATTAAGTGGTAACATGGTTTCGTGATGTAGTTGCTTCTTATATCAGTGTAACACACTTACGAGTCGTGGTTCGAGCCCGGCTGAAATGATTTTAGTTTTTCAGAATTGGCAGGGGATTGATCACCAACCTCCCCGCCACCCCCCCGCTCCGACTTCATTCAAGTGTCAGTTATTTGGCGGCCGGGGAGTGACTAGAGGCCGTGTCTCGGCCCGAGGCATCAGCATCAGCATCGGGAAGGAACACAGTCTGCAGAAAGGAAAAAATATGTGAATGTCTGTGACAGATTGTTTTTTTTTTCCGCATCCCATTCCTGTGTTTAAATGAATTGTAGGAACAAGGGTGCCATGCTAATGCTGTAAGTGGGAATGTGTATTGGTCCATTGCGGCGGGAGATATCTAGGGATTTATGTAAAGTATCGTTAGGGTATGGTGCGGAGGTTATCTAGGTATCATACTGATCGAGTAGCACTGGGATGAGAAATTTGTGCAATGCCACTGAGAGTACCCAGAAGTTATAATATCCAAAAGGAAATGGCATTCCTTCCAACGACTTCTCCCCCCCCCCCCCCCGCCGCACGCTATGGGTGCGAACCCCCCCAGTATTATCATCTCTCTAGAGGATAGGATCATCAGATAGGTTCTAACCGACTCTTGACATTCTTTTTAACTATCCAGTATTTCACATCCATTTATATATTTTTCCTAGCACCGGCTATCAATACCTTACGTTTCTGAGAACATGTAGTAAGTGTTCGAGGGGGAAAATAGCGGTGATGTGGGTTGGTATTTTTCGGAGTGGATGGAGGCGGGGAGGATAACTTTTATTTCTCTTCCCCCACCTCCACTCCCAGTTTTCTCCCATTTTACTAAGTCGCCGATCTGAAGGTTCACCCTTACGTGCATAGTCCGGAGTCAATTCTACCACCTCGCATGTAGCAGAACAGACTCAGTTCTCAGTACTCCTTGGTGGCTAGATTCTCCAATGTCCCAACCTCCTTGCTCAATTGCAAACAACCCGCTATGCGTGCGGGGAAACTGAATCTCTAAGCTCGTGTTGAGGGTATAGCGGTCAATTAGTTCTTAGAATTTTTGCTACTGTGGAGCTGGATAGGTATTTCCCATACCGCCATTTTACGATGGGACGTATTCTTGCACTGCTGGCAGGTGAATTTTGATCTTTCGCTATTCGCATGTGACTTGGTGTAGCGATGCTAAACACTGAATGCAGTACCTAGAGCAGACGACGATGCATCCTGAAGAGAAGGGACATTACGAACACTGACAAGTGTATAGTAGGAGAGCGCTTTAGTGCAATCCTCCTAGCCCGCGATAATTTGACTGGGGATATTCCGCCCAACTTCCGAGGTGAGCACCAAGTCTCAGAAATTGGTAACGGCAATGCCCTAAGGCAGCGCTCTGGGGTGCAAGAGTGACCCGGGTATTTGTCAAGCCCGGAAGACCTTTTTTTTCTACTGCTAGTTGTGCGAGTTAGGGGTGGATGGCTATAACCTTGCCACGATACTTTTTGGATATTAGATACGATACGGGGAGTTCGAGATCTCTTTGTTCACGGGTTATCACTCGAAAATTTTGTGTTCACCGTTCTCCGTCCTGTTAAGATAGTGATCGAGCTGTTTCTATCTAACTAAGACCGGGCTTTCCAGAATTCACAAAGTCAGAACCACAAGTGCAAAATAATATATTTCTACTGGATCAGATCAACCCGCGCACAGCAAATGTGGAGGTTCCGCCTACTTGGCACCAGAGCCCATACTGCGGCGCATGGGTTGGAAGTTGTAGGAGAGAGAAAAAGAAAATTCAAGTGGTGTATTGTAGATGGTTGTTCGGCCTATCCTTCAGTGTCGTATCCAACATAAACATCGAAAGAAACAGCACTAACGTTGACCCTAGGTTGGCTTGGGGCCTCCGGTGGATCCCGAATTAGCTCTGACGTCCCCAACCCTTCGCCGGAGCTTTGGTGCGTGCTGGATGTGACTCTATTGTTTGTCTTGCTGGTTTCATCTGCTGGGGCGTCTAGATTTGGCTGAGTATGATATGCTTTGGATCGCGGGAGCTCTTCCTCGTCAGCTGTGGAGTCCATGTCCGCTTGTCGCTCGGGTGCCTCGCGGTTTGATTCTGAAATCACAATAGCCTCTTCGAAATGGCTCTCAAATGCTTGACTATCTTCGACACCACTTTCATCGTACCCAGGAGGTATGTTATCTGAAAGCTTCATGGCTGGAGCGTCTTTTAGAAGAGACTCATGGAGATTCTCACGACGACTAGGATTTTCAAACTTTGCAGGTATTAGTGACTTATTGTCTGATGGTGGAGGGGGGGAGTACGTGGTGGGATATCTTGACTAGCGGATCAAAGTATTGGACCTCTTTTATCTTCGCCACCTCGGGTGTTTTGACGACACTATACTTGACAGGGCCCCCGTTCACTGCTTTCCTTTGACGCCCAGTCCGGGTGACGGAAGCGAGGGCAATGAATCCTTCTTCCAAGAGGCGCCTTGTAATCTGTGATGCCGTTGGTAGGTCACATCCTGTTCGGTCATAAGCTTGGGTATTCAGAACAGAGCGCGCGATAGAGGAACAGCCAACAATGACATACCAAGAGCATTTGAAAAGGCCCTGTTAGTCGCCAGAAAAGAGCCTTTGTCCCAGACAAGTTTCACAGCTCTCCGGAACAATGCCAACGCACGCATCTCTTCTAGAAGCCTTTCCTCAAACCTGGAAAGCAGACAAGAATAGCAAACATGATAATCCGGGATACGTGGGTCCTGGGTGGAAGTAAACCCGTAGCATTCAGTATGTTGCCAACCTTCGCATAAATCACAGCATATCATGTCCTCCGAGATTTCTTTACTACCACATTCACACATAATTTGGTGGTCGTCCGCCCGAGTTTCTCTTATAACCCCCTTCCCTTTCGCTTCAGTGACCAACTTGTTCCTCGCCAACTCTGCCTTCTTTGTTTCAAGCATTTTCAACTTAAAAATCTTAGAAGGCGCCTCTCTAGAGTGGTCGGCGTCTCGGGGCGGTATCATTTCTGGCACTTTTTGAGGCGCAGAGGGGTTTATACCATTCAGTTCCCCTAATGGGATCCGCTGCCCAGGGGATGGCGTGGCATCGGCTTTGGGAGCCCGTTCTCCAGCCCGAGGAGGTCCTGGGGGTTCCTGCAGCTGTGTGGCCAGATTTTCCGGTCGAGGACGCTTGTCAGTAATGGCGGAAGGCCTAGTGGAACGCTCCACAGGCAGATTTCGAGTTCGTTCAAGACCGAGATTACACGGCTGCGTCTCAGGTATCTCGCTACCTGGCTTGGATGTAACAAGCATACTTCGAATGGCTAACCTCTCTTGCGTTTCCCGTCCTGGAAATCGGCTAGTTGAACCGGATTCTGATAATGTCCGGGGATTACAGCTCGTATTTGGGGATGCTCTTTGTTCTTCCACAGATTCGGCCTCACGGGGCAGAGGGATGGTAGCTGGAGCCCCTTCATGCGTGCCGGGTATTTTTTGAGTATCTGATCCATTCTTTTCATTCTCAGACAACCCGTCAGCCCTTGGATGAGGCTGCACTATGTCCGCATCTATAGCGATAAACTTTGAGCCTCGTCGTCTCCTCGGCCGTTCCTCCGGATCGACTTCACTTAGACTAGATACTTTGAGAGTAACGCTGTGTAGGAAATATCAGCCGTATGATTTCAAGATTCACCAGCGGCGCACAGACGTATGATATCCAGCATTCAGTTCACCGCAGTCAAGTTTCTCAACCGCCCCAGATCCGTTCTCACGGATTCTGAGGGGAAATGCAGTGGGTGGGAGCCGGTAAAAGTTTGGGGGATCATAGTCCTTTGGAGTTCCTTCCAGATAATGCAGACGAAGGGTGAGCCAACGCTTGTCTTGGTGGAGTAAGTAGTAGCTCATGAATTAGCAACCGGAGATTTGGCAAATCCTTACCAGGTAGTGGAGGGAGATTCTGTAAACGAGAGTCAATGAATTGCTGGATACTTCCATGACGAATAGTAACTCACCTGAGTAATGACAATAAGCCTTCTGATCATTAGCTGAAGGTTTTTATTTGCATCGTTGGCGGTGACCCCATTCCCATGCATGTCTGTGACCTTAAGGCTAATCGAGGGACCATCATCCTTTTCACGATAGGTAAACGAGAAAGTGTACGACTCCACAACAATGTCAGGGTGTTTATCGTCAACATATATCGCTAGTTGGACTGCCTTGAGATAGCCTCGGCGGAGGGCATCAAATATTCCGGTTTCCTGCCCAGATAAACCATTAGGATTGCTTCAAAACAAAATAATGTAGAAAAATAGGAACTCTTACAAGCCAATCCAGGAGTTGGTCCGCTTCGCACGAATACCCTCTTCTCAACCTCTTTATACGAGTCCCGTTAGTACCCTTCTTAAACAATGCTTCATCGTCAAGGTCACTCGTGAATGAGCGATAGCTAACTGCAGTTGAGGAGCTGCCTCCGTAACGTTTCTCCACAAAACATTCCTCCGGAAGAAGGCCACTGATAACCACAGGTGAATTTAGCATTGTCCACAAAACATAAGCAATCGGGATTGTAATCCCACCGGAGGAATGAGAGACAGCCAATCTTTCCACAGTCAGCAGTTCGTTTAAACCGGTCTATTATTGGCAGATGATGTGCAAGGCATACCGAAGCTCCAAGAAGAGTTTGAACAACCTCAAGACTTTGCTCAAGTCTGAGCTGCTGATCTAAACTGCTAGCATCTGCCTTGCTCTGGGAAACCTCCTGTACCCGGGTTTGTGGTTTCTGAACCCCTGGAGGCTTGGTGAGGAGAGCTTGTCCAAGAGCCATTCAAGGGGGGGGGGTCAGGGGGGCAGCTGATTCGCAATGTCTCGAAGCTTGTGGTGGGTGTAATTGCGGGCAAACACCACAAATGAATATATGAAGGCAAAAATGCAAATCTGGCAAAGTATGATTATGTGAAGAACCATCAAACAGGAACACGGAAATGGAAGAGCAGAGATGACGGTAGAATAGAAGGTAGAAAGGAAATAGAAAAAGAATAAAACAAGTTGTGAAGTGGATGAAGGGGGGAGTGGAGGAAGCCAAATATCTGCTATTAAGGATCACTAGCGGAGAGCAAACAACGCTACCTCGATAGCCTTGAGCAGTGCGTGTCAGCGGAAGCCGTTACATTTTTCGGATAGGGGCAGAACTGCGAGTAAATGTGAGCACTCATGTCTGGAGCTTACAGCACTTGGAAGAGAGCTGATTCTGGAATACGCATTACTATGGGGGTACTGCAATTTCCTTTTGATCGGTTAATAGTACAAGAGCTCTGCCGTGGCCTGGAGGGTCCCGAGGAACGGCATTCACGCTGTGCACTAAGACGGCGATAATGTGGGGTAAGTTTCCAGAAATCGTGAATATTATGGGTACAGTACGAGTACTCATGGATTACCCGTAATGCACTTGAGTAAGCAGCTGCGATATATTGCCACGGTTGTCCACATTTCATACTACATTCTCAAAATATGTCGATTCCTCCATGCAGTACATACGGTTTTCTTAGTATCAATACTCTCCTCGAGGGTGGTAACAGAGCGACAATCTGCAATTAACCACCATGTGAGTCTGGCGCCCAGGTGCCGCGCCGAGAGAAGCTGCAAGTATAAAATGCAAGGAAGGGAGCGTGGGACCGATGGCCTGAATCATTGTGGCATGTATTGTGCAGCACTAAGACCTGCTCTCAATGTTCATCGAAAGGTGAGTTAGTCCCGATAATGTAGCTTAAGTATACTGTAGCTTAAGTACAACCTCGCCATATGAAGACACACTGATAGGAGGAAGTATAGCCCTGTTTACTAAATTACCAGCCCTCCGGCTCTCCGGATTCTCGAAATAAGACTCGTGCTGTAGACTCGAATGGGTCAAACAGGAAACATCTCGAATAAGTAACCCAGAGGAATACTTAACCCGAGACTTTGCTAACGACGTATAACCACAATGTTTCGTCCTATCATAGGGTGGAGTAATGCTAGCCAATGGTCTCTAGTATCGGGTACTTGCCCGCCCTAGTATGGGATTCTCCATACTAGAGTATCATATTCCCACCACCCCCGACCGGCTGCTATGAGGTTTCGTTGATGAATCCCCCCGCCACGGGTCCACCCAGCGATATTCCCACACCCTCTCTAGACTACAGGGTTGCAGGAGCTATCGACATCGTAGGCCGGGTGCAATGAGAATGACCCGAGCCAAGAGCAGCCACTCACGCTTTCAGAAAAACCGAGTCTACCGCAAAAAAGGTCAGATTTGCCATAAAAAGCAATTTGTTACATGCTCCTGGCTAACTGTGCAACCTCTTAGACTGACAATGAAGAACGTATTGACGAATATGGGGAGGATAAACTGCACAGCGATATAAGGGGTGGGCTAGACCGGTGCCTGACCAGTGTGGGGGAATAGTGGAAAAGGTACCACCAGGAACTTTGTTCCCTCGTTCGGCATCATCCTCTAACTAATGCTAATGGCATGCATATAAGTACTGATAAAGCATAACCAAATTATCCTAATCCTTCCATACATCACCGCACATCTCTCAATCTCCCCCGTGCAGTCCCCAATCCTTCGCACGCATACACACGGTAATGAAGGGGGGAAAAACATGGGGAAACCTCTCCCCAAAGCATTATAACCCTAGGACAAAAGAAACAACCTCTAGCATTCCCGAACACTCCACGGCCAACGACAATCCACTTCCCTTCACCAGTAATTCCAGCAACTTCAAAAAGCTAACCGAAACAAGGGGTCTGTTTAAGTGGGCTGGGAGACTTGTTTTCGCTACCGCATGTTTCCATCGAGCTACCATAACTATCAGCTTCCATATTAACCCGTGTACCAGTGCGGCGCGAAATTCTAGTTTAATTCGACCGTCCAAACAAAGATTAGAAACCATGCTATCAGCGGCGACATCAGGTTGGAGAAGAAGATCGAGGAGGTGGATACGAGGCTCACCAAGCAGACCGATAATCTAGAGTGCCAGATCAAAGAGCTTATGGACTTAGTCCTCGCTAATCTGCTCCTAGAAATCAATAACGACAGCTCGGCAGGTTAGATAAAGAAAAAGAAGAGGAAATGACTGCGCTGCTCCTTTTTTGTTCACTCGGCCCTGGTCATGTATGAAACAGGCTTACGATTTTTCAAGTATTGGACTCAATTTTGTATTATTATCCCCATGTTTATTTCATAGGACGCCCATCTTGACAACTGAATTCTATTGAATGCCATTAGAAATTAAAGTTCAGAACGCCCTTGTCTAAGCTATGTACTGTGTTACAGGTTTGTCGTTCAGTCAATTCTCACTCATTGCTATTATACATAATTACCCTCCCTGAATCCTGATGAATTGCCTATGATATGATACCCGGCATGTTGTCAGAAGCTATGTGGTTATAGGGCATCTGGTTTTGTAATTTGCGGCGAGTATCATAAGCACATAAATTTATATAGCAGTGGTTCGTTGATGCTCGACCCCCCACTAATACTTGTATTATAAGATTTGATCTAGCACAGTACGAGTACAGTACGAGTAAGTTAAGGTAGAGGTCGATTCTTTCCCTCCTTGAGTGGTGTTCAACCAACCACATACCAGCAGCACTGTACTGTACCGTACCACCACGCAACTGCACAAACCTTCTGGCAACCATAACTTATCGATAAGCTTCGCCCGATAACCGACCCCGCCATCAACATCTATCCTTCTCCCTCCCTCCAGCCTCCACCACCTCATCCCCATCCCTTCCCCCCTTCCCTACCAAGGTCCACCCAAAACTAGCCAGATACCTCGTGTTTGTTTCACCTCATACCACTCACCAGAGCCCCCCCCGCGCCCTACAACTCGTGAGTACCCTTTTTCACTACTCTTGGCAACACCAGCGCCCGAGTTGGGATTTGAGCCCCGGTTTATCTTGCTCCTCTGCCACGATAAAATACTCGGTTCTGTACTTGTCGGTATCTAATACACCACAGCAGAAGCAATAATAGCACGGCAAAAAAAGTACTCTAGAGCCACAAGCGGGCACGGAAGAAAAACTGAAATCATGTCTATCAAGTAACCCCCCTGTTTCCCCCTGTCACCCCCTGTTCCCATAGAGATGCTAACCATCAACTATTCGTAACAGCTGGGTGATGCTCTCTCCCACCCCACCACACTCATTTATCGCCCTCCCAAACGAGCGATCCCTCTACCAATCACCAGCGCGCACGGGTCTCTCCTTAGCTACCACGTCCCCATACCCGGGCACCCAACCCCTATCAATCAGCAGCAGCACTGGGACAGCATACATAACAAACCAGCGCATAGTCTACATCCCAACTACCAAAACCTCCGACTTTGAATCATTCGCCTGTCCAATCGCAAACCTGCATGACACACATGTGGCTCAGCCATTCTTTGGACCAAACGTTTGGAAGGCTGTTGTCCAACCTGTTGCTAACGGTGGACTGGGAGGAGGGGGGGGGGTGGAGTTGAAGTTGGTTTTCAAGGATGGTGGCGCGTTCGATTTTTCTACGGTCTTTGAGAGGTTGAAGGAGAAGGTTCTCAATGCTAGGGAGGCGGGCGCCGGCGCTGAAGCGGTGCATTTAGATGAGTTGCCGACGTATGAAGATGCCAGGAGTGGGCAGCCATCCCCTTCCGCCGCCATCACTACTGGTGCTCCCCTTTCGCTCAATGTGGTGGCACCTGCAATGGTATCAGAGCTACCCGAAATTACTATTGCACAAGCCGATCCCGAGCCCGCCATCCCCAGTGGTCCTCCGCCTGGCTACGAAGAAGCTCAGCGAGAGTCTGTCGCGGAAGAGCTCGAGAGGCAAATCGGGCAAATAGCGGGCGCCAGAATTCAATAGACTCCCTCTTTTTCTCCCACATTTTCTCATTCTTCCACTTCTGCGTTTAAAACTTATTCAATTCTGCTCTGCGCTCCTTCCCTTCTCCAGTTGAAATTTGCTTGGACCCAACTTTTCTTCCCTTCCCTCACTTCCGTAGGGTTGCTTGGATTAGCTTAGGGGGCGTTGGGGTATGCAACATAAATTTATTGTTGTCTGTGCTGAGTTTCCTTTTTTCCCCTTTTTCCATACTATTTTTACTCTGCTGTTCATTTTTTTACCTGTACATTTCTTTCCCTTTTCACTTGAGCGCTCAGGGAGGAGGGGTGAGTGTAACATAACCATGCGTCGATCGATTGCTGATTACCTGCTTACCCTACTACCATCAAACGATTGTGAAAGAAATGTAAACAGCTTTGCAAGTGAAACGAAGCATGCATCCCCGTTGATTTCTGCCAGCGAAGTAATTAGAAATTACTTTTTAGTAACCCAAATCTCGACAGTACTAGTCCTCCTCCTCCTAACATCTTCATCCTCCCCCTCCTCCCCCTCCTCCTCCCCCTCCCCCTTCTCCTCCTCCTCATCCCCCCCACCCTCACCCTCGCCCTCACCCCCATCTTCCCCCCACTTCCTCTTACACCCCCTTGCCCTAACAACATCATCTAAAACCTCTACACCCCCCGTACAAATCCTAACCCCCTCCCCCTCTTCCAAAAGGAACAATCCCACCTGCAGCGCCTTGTCAATCGCCCGACCGCTAGCCCTAAGGAGTACCTGCGCGCCTGGCGCGCTCCCCAGAAGCGCCCTCGCGCGCTTGATCGCCGAGACGAAGGGTGTTCGTGGGGATATGTATATTGTCTTCGGTCCCAGGGCGGAAGGGGGGGGGATAGGGGGGTGGAGGAGGGGGCGTTTGTGGGATTTTTTGTCTGTTGGGCGATTAGCCGGTGCGTTGTAGGTGTGGGGATGAGGAGGAGGGGGAAGGGCAGGGGAGGAACATACGCGCTGGGAGGGGTGGCAGTGGCGGTGGTTTTTTGTGAATGAAAGAGGTAGTCTGAGGGTTTGACATGTGTTTTTTTCCGTTTGCTCGTTTGCTCGTTTTGCGGAGTCCTTGGTTGGGTATTGGATTACGTATTTCCTTCCTTTCTTCCTTCCTTCCTTCCTTCCTTTGCTGTTGTAAGTTAGGTAGTTTTGATGTTTGGTGCTCGAAGACGTTACTGTAGAGGGGTATGATCCTGTATACCAATGGGATGCTAAGTTACCCGGTTATTGACCTTCGCAGTGGTGATGATGCTCTGTTCTTGACTTGTGGTTTCCTGTGGAGGGTTGTGGTAGTGGTATCGTACGGTAGATGGTAGGATTGGTGAGAGGTGGCGGCCGGTCGGTCGGTTGCAAGCAACAATGCGGGAGTGGCTTGGTTTTACATGCCTCTACCGGCAGTCTATCCTGAGGTGTTGTGAGGCTAGGATTAGGATCGACAGAATGGGGCTGTGGTTTCTGATTGGGAATGATAAACCATGATGTCATACGATTGACGGGTTGTGATTATGGCGCGGGTTGTCTTTTGTTTCTATCCGACATGAGAGATGGGGAGTGCAGGGTAGTGAGATCTCCAGGTTTTGGTTTTTTTCTTTCCCCTGCATCTGATTCCCCCGCATTTCTTTCTCCTCCGGATGGGGAAGGAGAGGAAGAATGTTTTATTATATGGTACAGTACCGGTATCATAGAACCGATATCCGGTTGAATACTCACGAACCTCCCTCGGCACGTAATTCTCCTCCAAATTTCCTACCATCCCATCATTAACCCCTCATATTCTCCAAAAGTGCGGAGCGATATAAAAGAAGAGAAAGAAGGAGACACTCGCTTCAAATCCTCCTCATCCAATTTGACCCGCAAACTCTTCACCGCCTCCTGCGTCCTCTCTACCTGGCGGCGCCGCTCGGTCCCAGAATTGGATAGACCCCCTTTGACAGGGTCCACGTTCTGGTGACCATCGCCAATGCTTGTTCGCGACTTCCCCGACCGCCCCCACCCCCGCATCTTCGCTCGCGTGCCTCCAGCTGCGGGCTTTGACTTTCATCTAGTTTTCCGTCCGTTCTCGCAGCGTGTCGCGGGGTGGCTGCGGGCGAGCTGCGACCAGGGGTTTATCCCGACGCCCATGGTCTTGTGGCAGGGGGCCATTTCACGCTCCTCTTCTCGGTACTCTTCCCTCATCTGCATTCCCACTACCATGCCCGTCCTCCCATTCGGGGGATGGCGATAGTGGGAGGAGGGGTAGGGGAAAGGTACGATGACGTTATAATAATTCTGCATAGTATACTTCGTCAGGCAAGCAGCAGTCGGGGAAGCCCCGATGCACCTCGCCTTCCCCGACACGACGACACGACGACACCGTGCAGGGCATGCATGGTTTCCTCTATCGGGGTAGTATCAAAACGCGGTCCAATCTGTGGATCATACCGGCTATGGGTTGTGAGCCCCGTAGCTATCGTTAGAATGTGGGGGATTGAAGGGATGGGGAAGGCATGACACATCTTCGCTCGAGGCAAAGAACTTTAACAATATGATAAGTTTCCTTCACTGGATTTCGTATTGCTCGATTCCCTTCGCGATAGTGCGCTAGCCTCATCGGAGTATACATCTGTGGTATCCAAGACATTGATTCCCAGGCCGAAGGTGGCCTTCAGGAGCGGCAGTGATTCCTACTCATTTTTGATCCAAGCTGCCCACTACCTCGCGTGAGTATTGTCCCTAAATACTATAATATTATGGACCTTGGAGTGGGAGGAGAAGGTAGAAATCATACTGTACCTTAGGATCTCCATATGACAAAGCATCAAGAATACCGATAATATTAGACACCTTCCAACCCACTACCTCCAAGACCATTCATTATGGGGAGAGAAGAAGAAGAAGCAAGGAAAAGCAGAAGTTAGTATCAAACGAATATCACACCCTCTCCCCACCAGTAGCCCACCGAGGGGAAAAAGAAAAAAAAAATCATACCATACATGAATACTCCATCCTTACCTTCTCCAAAAATACTGTAAGCTAAATGAAACAAAACAAAACAAAATTAATACACTGTATGATACGATATCATAATCCCACCATTCGCCCCCCTCCTTCAACTCTATCCAATTCGGGGACCTCCGGGAGTACAACCCCACCATATTACATACATATATATATGTATATACCACTCCACATCCCATACATCTTTCCAACAAATCCTATGATACCGCCAAATTTACGTTGTTACGTTAGACTACCGTACCTGCCCTCCCTTCCAGGGATCTTCCACCTTCCGGTGCTCATGGGCGGTTCGGGCCATCCCACCGTACAGTAAGTACGATTATAAAATACTCGGATATCGTATTATATCATACATATCACGTACTCTTGTAAGAGCTGCTTCGGGAGGAGCCGGGAGACCCCATAAATGCGGAGGGTTTTGTACTCGTACTGTACGGTACTCTTGTTGCCAGGCTATCCTGTCACGGGCTAGAAAGTTGTCCGCTAGGGTAAATTAGGCCGTAGTTACAGCACCGTACGATATCTGTCCAGCACGGCATGGTCGTGGCGTGAAAGTGTGGCTGGATACCACTCCGGCACGAGTGATTTGGAGTGAGGGTTATCTCAAGGAAGGGGAGTGGAGGGATTTCACTATGGGTAACGGTATGTATAATATGATATCAGGAAGTTAATGGCAGGCAGCGTGATAATAGTAGTGTCGCTAGTACTAGCGGCGGGTAGCTTAAGCATAGAGATATGATAAAGAGAGAACACAGTTGTGAGGGCGCAGCACTACAAATATAAGGACGATAACGAAAAGGGATATTCGTTAGTGACGGGCCAGATGTTGAAGAAAGGGAAATTACTACTGCCCATTACTACCACTGCTGCTATGGTGAGGTCTTCAGTAAGGCGCGGAACTAGAAAAGCTACTGTAAAGGAAACTCTGAAGTAAAGTATGATAGGTAAAATTGAAAAGAAAAAAAAAAGAAGAAAAAAAAGGAAGAAGGGTAGCAAATGAGTGACTATCATACCGTAAAAATCCACAACATTACAGTAAATTTCCGTTGCAACAAAAGATAAAAAATAAAAAAATAAAAAAATGAAAAGGAAGAAAAGAAATCAAACAAGAAGGAAAAAACAAAAAAACCCCTACTATGCAACAGAAAGAATATGTGGTAGAGACTTTTGTTTTCTTCGTCCTTCAGTGATTCCCTTTAAGCCATTTAGCAAACAAAGAAACTCCGGATCCATTTTGAACCCCCTCGCCCAATTTCCCAAAATTACAACCCGCAGTAACACTAAAAGACCACTAATGCTGATTTCTTGCTAGCCCTTGTTTCGCTTTCATTTGCTGCATTGTTTGTTTGTAAGAAAAGGAAAGCAAAAAAAAAAAAAAGGTTGGGCATGAGGGGAGCTCAAATACCTCGATTCGTAACTTCAATTGACTTGTTACCTCGGCAGCCCGCTTCCAACTTTCAATGGAATCTGCACCGCCCCTATTTCCTGCTGCACTTGCCCTCCCACTTTCAGTGCCTTCGCGTAAGGTTGGGGACACTCGGGAGCCCCTGTCGTATCCATTCTCCTTGTCCTCGCCGGAAAACGTCGAAGTGAAGCTCAGGCGGTTACCTGCACTCCTTCCCAGGGAGTCGGTTCTTCCACCATTGTAAGAGCCATTCAGGCTGTTATCACGATAAACATGCTCTGATATATCGGCCGGAGCGGGTGAGGTAGGGCGCACTGCACGAGCAAGTTCCCGCTTTAGACGTTCCATCTCGCGCTGCTGCTTATGAACGGTGGCCTCGGCGGTTTCTGCATCAGAGCGGGCACGGACTAGTTGGGCCTCCTTGGCACGGATTGAAAGATTATCCCTTGTATGATCTTCAATTAGTTGAGCATTCTATTGGGTAAGTTAGCTTGATTAGTGGACTAGCAAGAGAAGACGAGAAACCAACCTGGAGTTGCAGTTCATTGATTTCCTGAAACAATTTAGCCTTCTCCGCTTTCTCTTCTTGAATTTGTCTTGCCCATCTATCCTTCTCGGCTCTCAACTCTTCTAACTCGGCCTTTTCCAGAGCGCTAAGGCCCGAATCAACCACTCTTGCAGCAGGTGCCACTTCCTTAGCCAACGGCCGACTGGCCAAGCCTCTCCCACCAAAAGCCACCCTAGGCGCCGGCGGTTCTTCTTCGGGGGAGGGGGCTCCGGGAGCAGCCGTGCGCTTCGGTGAAGCTAGTGCACCAGGACCTCCGGCACTTGCTGGTTTTTTTAACTTTAGCCCACCAGGACCGGCCCTTGGCGCACTCAGTTTGCTTGGAATGGCTCTTGGAGGATTCATGGGTCTTTGGGGCTCCTCTACAGGCGGTGGGGGAGCTGCGGTCACTGGAGGCGCCTTCTTCTTCAATCCAGGTTTTCCGCCCAAAGTCCTCTTCATAGGAGGAGCCTTCGCAGCTGGCGGTGGGGCAACCGGTTTCGGCTTCTCCTTTGCCTTGACCTCAGCGGTCTCAAAAAACTCCTTAATTTTAACCTTCCTGATTTCGTCTAATCCATCCAAGAATGGGTTCATCTGTCGTTCACCCAAAATCTTCATCAACGTCCCCATAGCCTCAGCAGCTCCATCACGAGCAGGAGCTGTAGTGTCACTTAGAAGTTTTCCGGAGGCTTCAGCAATCAACTTGGATTCCGCCTTGGAGGGAAAATCGCGGGTGTTGCGCAGGCAACGGATCAGTAATCGCAATGTCTCGAGTTTGACGTTGGGGTTTTTGTGCTTCATGTATTCCAGAATGTCTTCGAGGCAGTCTGTGAGGGAAGTCTGATGGCCATTAGCAAGAGCGCCGGACAAGCGTGTTTGAAGCACAGAAATGGGGGGCATACCGCGCCAAAGATTGCATCCAAGGCTTTAGTTAGGGCCTCTACCACCGTGGGCTTCTTCTCTTTCAAGCGTTCAAGAATGGGTGTCATGATGGAGGATCTGTACCGTCCGAAAGCTCTCCTCAATCCATTTGCAAGTAGCTCCACACAGTTAGCGGCTACGGTCACAACCACAACGTTCGCGTCTTTCATGGACTTTGCTAAGGCCCGGATAATTTCGTTGAAATCTCCGTCCCTGATTCTAGGAACATTGAGCAAGGCAAACAGTGATTCCAGTGCATCTTTCCGGTCCTTCCACTTAGTTGAAGCAATCATCTCGTGAAACTCGTTTGGAAGCCTTGAAAGGACGTCAACAGGCTCAGCCAAATCAAAGGCATCCACTTCCGCCTCGACTTCTTCCTCCCCTTGCTCTTCTTCGCCACCTGTCGTAGCTTGCTGGGACCGCAATAGCCTCTCTTGTTTTGGGGACTCGTCTTTGACTTTCTCGAAGGCCTCCTCAAGTTCCTTCTGTTGAACCGGCTTCAAGTCGTTGAAAAACATGGGCTTCATTGCATCTTTCAACCATTTATACAGCTCGATAGCCAACTTGGTAGCCTCTGCCCTGACGTTCTTATCCGCATGGCCAAACAAGGCCGGGAGCACTTTGAGGACAGGCTTTGGATCTACCGTTCGCGCACCAAAAGTCGTGTATATTGAGGTGAAGGTTGTGATTGTAGCCGCAATGATCTTAGGCATCTTGTGTGAGAGATATGGAGCCAGTTCATCCAATACGGGCCCGGGCGTATCAAGCTCTATATATAAAAGAACAGCCTCAAGCGACTTCTGTTTCGTTCCCGCACGGGTTGACGAAAGTCCCTTTTCGACCAGTGGAGAGATTGTGTGGGACCTTGATCTGCAAAACAGTGAAGCGAACCAGTGTCAGTCATGATATACCTCGAGCATAGGTGAGAGGCCTGGATTCATGTACCGCAAACAAGCGTTTACCCCCCCATACTGTAAGAAGGCACAGAGCGCAGTGATACCCTCTTGTTGGGCAGCAACATTGGAATCCAGGACAATTTTTTTCCAGAGCCCAGAATCCATGAGCCAGTCCCGAAAGCATGGTGCACCCTCATCGGGTGATTTTGCAAATTCACTATGGGAAGCAAGCCGTTGTTAGTCCACCGGCCAGGTGAAAGAGATGATGGATAAAACTCACGCAGCCGCTTCTTCGTAAGCCGCCTTGCGAACCTTCCAGACCTTGTGAACTGCTCTATCGGTGAGAGGGAGGTTAGAGTAGTCGGGCTCTTCTTCAGCCATTGTGAATGTTTTCCTGAACAGCCGAGGGGAAAAATGTAAGTAGTCGCACAGACGGATGACAGGGACCGATGGGGGGAGGGGTAAGACGTGGGGAGATGGATCTATACCTATATGAGAGGCTATATTTCTATCGATAACAATAGAGGGTATTGTTGGGGTGGCCAAGCGATGGGGTCAGGAGCGAGAGCAGGAAAGGGCAGGATATCGGATGAAGTAGATGAAGGTTAAGGCGTTGTCGTGTGAAGAAGAGTGGTTCGTTGATTCGTTGGTTGGTTGCCGGCAAAGACAACAAAAACAACAGGGGAATGCCAAGACAGTGTGTACTCGAGTAAGGCTTTTGTTCCTTCTCCCTAGTCTAAACTTGGTTGCCGTGGAGAGTTTATGATACGGGTGCTCGAGGAGAGGAGATGATGATTCGTTCCGGCAGGGCTGGTTTAGATGTCAATTGTGATACTTTGTTCGCTCAGGGTCGGACCAAGTGAACCTCGGCAGGTGCTCATCAGCAAGCAGTCCATAGGCTAGTAATCGGTACAGCACGTACGAAATTGGAGCACTGCAGCGGGACCGATGCAATGGTATTCGGGCACTAGCCAGGCGGACTCATCTCAATACTCATGCGAAAGATTCGCATCCATAGCGTAGAAATAATAACGTTTCACCCGTTTACGAAGATTCCTACGTTTGTATGGGACGGAGGTGGCATGACAGCACCGGTGCCGCATCATAGCACATCATAGTAAATTTCACGATGAATTTCATGATGCTCGAGTGCCGGTACAGTACTCAGTACTCGTAGTCTACAGTACTCCACCGTACTCGAGTATTGTACTAGTGCTTGTACTCGAGTATATATATACCAGCGCTGCAAGCCCGATGGCTGGCTGAGAGTTCTCCCGGACCCTTTGAGCCTCATTTCCATCGCCAAGAACAATGCCTCTAACTGTCTTAGGCCGGTTACCCTACTTAAGGGTAAAACTGCTTTGCTAAGATAACAAACTTCCGGATCTCTTTTCAAGTCTTTTCAAGTTCCCCGTTCCGTCGCGTCAACCGCCCAACATTTATTCACCTTCAACCTCTCACCGCGCGCCCCCAACACGCGGTGGCCATCCATCCATCACATAGTATTTTCCCCACGGGCACCCATCCATCACATAGTATTTTCCCCATGGGCACCCTTACAATAAATACCCCTTACGACCGCTACACCTGATAATATATTCTCCTTACAATCAACCCCCCCCCCCCCCCCCCCAACTTTCCACCATCCTTTCATTGCTAAAATTCCCTCGAACCATTTATCCCCGCCAACTCGAGCACTCGGTGTGGCTTAACCTTCAACCCTTGCACCACATTCATGGCGTCGGTCGACGTACTGACCCCTTCCCCCGGGGGAGGCGGTGCGATCGACGTTACACGCCTTTCTACTTTTCTCCTGGTCGGGGAAGATGTTATTTCTTCTCTTGCTGGAATCACCGAGGACTACATAACTTCGGTTCTCCGGGCTATCGATGACAGAGCTAGGGAGTATGAGGATTTGCGGGCCGACAAACTACGGGCCGAAGTTGAACTGGAGCAATCCGTCCGTACCGCCGATAATAAAGTCAAGGGGATGAAGAAGCAGATGGACGCAAGCCTTATCGAGACGCAAGAGTTTAAATCGAAGTTCGAGAACTCAGGTTTGATTGTGCCCTTGAATTGTTGGGGATTTCGGCTACTTACACATGGCTTCCTTCGCCTCCAGAAACCGCTCGAAAAGCCGTCGAAACTGAACTCGAGAACTACAAATCATCGAGGGTCACTGTCGACGAAGAGATCCACACATTGAGAACTCGAGTTCAATCGTTGGAGTCGGATAAGCGGGACACTTTAGACGCCCTTGACCGCAAGGCCAACGATTACGATCGCCTGCAAGATGAGTACGCAGCCTTACAGTCCACATCGATTGAGAAACGTCAGGATATTAGCTCCCTCGAGACTCAGCTTCGACAGGCGCAGTCGACGCAAACGTCCTCCAAATTTAAGGAACAAAACCTCCTTCAAGAGGTTGAGTTGCTTAAGAAAAACAACGCATGGCTAGAGAACGAACTTGGTACCAAGGTCGCGGAATTCCAAAAATTCAGGAAGGAAAAGGCTGCTCAAGTCTCCGCTTTGCAACGTGAACTCGATGAAGCATTGAGCTCGGTGGATATTACACAGCGCAACTCGGACAATTTGAAGCAGCGTTTTGACGAGGTATCCAAGAAAGCGGAGGATGCTCTGGCTAAAGTTCAAGACCTCCAGAATAAGGCAGTGCTCCAGGAGGAAAACTTTAGAAATGAGATGCATTCGCAACAGCGATTAGCAGAACTATTCGAACAGTCTACTAAGAGCGCAAGGGCAAGGGTAGCCGACTTGGAGCGATTGCTGGAACAGGAACACGAGCGCGAAAGCGTGGAAATTGGCCGGGCACGTGCAGCAGCCGAGACGGAGCGGGCCGAGAAGGATGCTGCTATAACTCGTGTTTCGCAGCTGGAGGTGCAAGTGGAGAGATTAGAGGCTGACCTTTCTGCGTATGCCACCGGTCTGTTTAATGCTGGCTCTCCCCGGGGAAGCATTAATGGAAACTCCACACCAAATCGCCGCCCGGGATCAGCAGCTGGAACACCCGGTGGGTTGAATTTAGCCTCTCCCGCTGCAATTAGGCTCCAAAAGTCTGGCATTTCTGTGACCCAGCTATACTCGGACTATATGGCTATGAAAGCCAGTTATGAAGCTGAGAAGCGAAGGAACACCAGGTTGGAGGAAGCTATCGAGGAGGTAATGCAGGACCTGGAGCAGAAAGCCCCTGAAATTCAGGAACTTCGTGAAGAGGATGCAAGATTACAGAAGGACTTGATTGAAATGAGCGAATTACTCGATAGAGCCCACAAAGAAAACGAACGAATCGAAAAGGACTCCAGAACCATTTCCCTGAAATTTAAGGATGCCGAACGGGAGGTTGTTGTTCTCAGAAAGCAACTCCGCGACCTGAGCACCCAGCTTCAAGTTCTCCTGGTCGAGATAGAGCACCGTGACTCTGGAGCCGATCCACTTTCTGCGGCCCAGAACGAGGTTTACGAACAAGTGATCAACGGGACCGAGCGCGATGCGGCCGAAGGAGGCACAGACAGGATAATTTCACAGAAATTGACCATATTCCGCGGTGTCCGAGAGCTCCAGGACAAAAACGAGCAGTTGCTGAAGGCTATCCGGGAGTTGAGCATGAGGATGGAGCAGGAGGAGCGAGATAGGAGGGCCGAACAATTAGGGAAGGAAGGGACAGAGGTTGCACAACTGAGAGGTGTTGTAGCGAAGCTTAGGGATGAGCTCACAGCTTTAGGTGCGAAGGCACAATCGTTTGTTCGTGAGCGTGATATGTTCCGTCGCATGCTTCAGAATAAGGGCGACCTCCCTGCAAATAGCGGCACCAATGACCAAGATATGCCCGCCTCCGGTGCCGGCCCAACTTCAAGCCAAGGTCCAGAAAATCTTGCAGAGCTCCTCCGGGAACTTCAGGCGCAATACGACCAATTTAAAACAGAGGCGCTAGACAACCACACGACTCTGAATGACCAAACCAGGCGATTGGCACAGGAAAAGACAGAGTTAGAGGTGAAGGCGCGAACAGTGGCTTCTCAACTTGAATTGGCTAATGGTATGGGTTGCCCCATCATGGATCGTGTTCCGTGCTAACAACCACTTGAACAGACCGATATGAGATGCTCAATGGAAACTTCAATATTCTCAGAATGGAGAATACAGAGCTTCAAAAACGCATAGCTTCCTTACAAGAGGCCCAGGCTAAGGAGGATGTGATAAACCGGAAGCTTACGGAAGACCTTGCGGATTCCCAATCTGTGCTTGAAGGGATGCGCAATGAGACTGCCAATCTCAAGGCGGAGAATAATCTATGGAAGAATATCGAGCAACGCCTTGCCCAGGACAACGAAGCCCTTAGTCATGAACGAACCCGGCTGAATGAACTTATCGCTGATCTTCAATCCATGCAAACTCAACGGGAACGAGAAGAGTCGGAGACGAAAAGGCGCCTCAACAGCCAGAATGAGAAACTCGAGACGGAGATTCAGCAGACAAAACGCAGGCTAAACGAGGAAATCGAGGCAGCGAAAAAGTTCGCCGTCCGGAAGGAGATCGATGCCAGAGATGCCCAGAAAAAGATTGATGATCTAAATAGCACGCTCGCCTCGACAAGGGAATCTCTTGTCGCTTCCCAGACAAACCAAACCCACCTCCAATCCAGGGTAGAAGGGTTAACGAGTCAGTTGAAGTCCGTGGAGGAGAAATTAACCATCCAGTCATCTCAGCCTCAAATCGCCTCTCGGTCGGATGGAGAGGATGACGATGAAGACTCGGAATATCGACTACGGGTACTTCAGGAAGAGTGCGATAAACTGCAAGGCCAATTGAGCGATGCCACCAACGAAATCGACAACCTCAAGACACAGGTCGAACATTACAAATTGATTGCTCTAAGTGGCGAGGAGGAACTTGCGAGCATCAATGAAACTTATGATGCGTACAAAGAGAGCATGGAGCAACAGGCCAGTGAACAAGAGGTACGCCCGGTCATGAAGAAAGTGTATGCACGGCCCTTGGATGATACTAACTTCTAGTGCAGGACAAGGTTCATGACCTTGAGCAGAAACTTGAGGATACCAATAATGAGTTAGCATCCGTTAATCAGGAATTATCCGACCTTCGGCAAGCGGAGCTCGAGAAGCGACAACAATTCGAAGATGAGAGGAGCCTCCTACAATCTCAGATCAATGGTTTGAAGGAAGATACCGAGAAGAATACCGCGGCTGTCTCTTGCTACCAAGAAGATCTGAGAAGCCAAGCCCGCATCGCCCAAGACGCCCAGCAGAATTATGAGCGTGAGCTCGTCAAACACGCTGAAGCCGCCCAGGCACTACAACAAGTTCGCGAGGAGCACTCCAAGCTTAAAGCTGAGGTTTACCAGATTAAGTCTGAGGCAGAAACGGCGAAGAGTAGCCTTGCAGTATCTGAGTCTAGCTGGGATTCTCAGAAGGAAATGTACGTCAAAGAGCTCGAGGAGACTAAAAAACATTCCGAAGGCCTTTCCAAGCAATACAAGCTTTTACTCGACCAATTCGAGAATGTCAACACCCAAATATCGGAAATCAAGAAATCTCGTGCTGCTTCAGATGATTACAATGAGTCCAGAGAACAACCCACGACAGACAGGAGTCTTGAGGACCTCCGAGAGGTCCTCAGGTATCTCCGTAACGAAAAGGAGATTGTGGACGTCCAGTACGACTTGTGCCTACAGGAAAATAGGCGGCTCAAACAGCAGCTCGATTACACTAAGACTGCTTTAGATGAGAATAAGCTATTACTTGCGCAGGAGAGAGAGCGTGAATCCGCCCAGCTTCGTGGGGCCATGCAACACAAGGATTTAATGGACAGGATCTCGGAACTGAACATCCTACGGGAGAGCAACAGCGCTTTACGAAGCGACTGCGAGAAGAGGGCCAAGAAGGTCAATGAACTAACCGAAAAGGTTGACGAGCTCGTGGCAAAGATTCGGCCTCTAGAAGGTAACGTAAATTGCCACTTCGCATGAAATTCATCCGAAACTAATTCATCCCGAACAGATCAAGTGAGTGCTCTTGAAGCGGAGAGAGAAGCCAAAGAGGAGCAAGTCAAATTATTACAGGAGAATAGTGAACACTGGAAAGCCAGAGCGCAGCAAATTCTCCAGAAATATGACGTAAGTTTAATTGGCTCCGGGTCTTCGGGCTTGTTTAACCTGGCGCAGCGCGTCGATCCTGCCGAGCTCGAAGCCCTCAAGGAACAGGCGAGAACTCTTGAGGAGAAGTGCAGCACTCTCGAGGCTGAGCGCGATGCCCTTCAAAATCAGATTGCCGAATTTGAAGAGCTGAAGCAACAAGAGCTTACCGAGGCGGCGGAGGTCTGGCGATCAAAGCTTTCGACTATCGTTCAGACAACAAAGGTAAAGCTCCGTGAGGCCGGCGACAAGCTGATAGCAGAGAAGAAGAATTCCACGGACACCCAAGAGCAATTGGGGGCCCTTCAGACAGAGCTCAATGCTGCCCGGCAGTCAAGCAGCGAGGAAGTTAAGCGATTGCAGGAGGAAAAGAACAGGCTAGAGTCTGAATTCCAAGCTATACAAACCAAAGCTACCGAGGTTGAAGAGAACTTCAAGAGTTATAAGGGTAGAACATCAACATTACAGCGTGATATGGTGAGAATCTGAGACCATAACATAGGTTATGTATGCTAACTGTGGGTTGCAGGCCATCTTGAAGAAGCAATACGAGGAGGCCCAACAGGAAATAAACGAACTCAAGGCCCTGGGAAAACCTGCCCCTATTGCCCCAATGGCCCCTACCAGCGACGAGGCAACCATTGAGGCAGAGGTTACTCGAAGAATTGCTGCACTTCCACCAGCCAACAACTCTGCATCGATTGAGGCAGAGGTAACCCGGAGGCTTGCCGAGATACAAGCCAATCAGCCTGCCCAACTGAGTGCGGAGCCGATTGATCATACAGCCGCTATCGAAGCGGAGGTTGCCAGACGAATTGCCGATTTCCATGCAAGCCAGACCTCACAGAACACTGAGCCCCCGCAACCCGTGGACAATTCTGCTGCTATCGAAGCTGAAGTAGCCAAGAGAATGACTCAGGCCCAGATCATTGCAAATTCTGCCGCTGTTGAGGCAGAGGTTTCTCGCAGGCTCGCTGAGAGCCAGGCGTTGCATGGCTCCGAGCCGGGTGAAGTAACGCCTTCCGCTGCTGATGTTGAAAAGATAGTTGAGGATCGTGTAAAGAAGGAAAAGGAAAAGCTCGAGCAACGAATTACCGAGGCTCGCAAGGGTTTCCAGGAATACAAGGCGAAGGCTGTTGCCAAAGCTCTTAGTGATGCAGCGGTTGATTTCGACAAGAAAATGGCCGCTAAGGACGAGGAGCACAGGAAACAGGTTCAAGCCCTGGAAACGGCAATCGCGCAGCTAAAGAGGGAGATTGGAGAGCTCAAGAAGCAACTGGAAGAGGTCAAAGCAACTCAGTCCACCGTTCCCCAACTCGATGCTGAGCGGCACCAGAAAGCCCTTGATGCTAAAGATCTAGAACACCAGAAGGAGGTCCAAAAGATTAAGGAGGAGGAGGAATCAAAGCTTGAGCAGGCCAAAGTGGATATCCGACATGAGGTGCAGGCAGAGTTTCTTGTTATAAAGGGCGGTGAAGCTGATACGACCGACCCATCAGCCAAAAAACCTCCAACTCAAGAGGAATTGAAAGCCGTCATCAAGAGAAACGTTGAGCACCGCCTTGGGAAGGAGAAGGAGAAATGGCAACGGGAAATCGATAACGAGCAAGAAAAGACCATTGAATCAAAATTGCAGGGCGTTCTCGCGGAAAAACTGAAGGAAATGGAGGCCGAGCTCCAAGCTCAGCAGATGGCACTACTGGAAAAGAGCAAGGATGCATTAAGGCAAGAGGGGGCGGCGAGAATTAAGGTTCAGCTGAGCATGATGGAAAAACGGAACAAGACTCTGGAAGAAAAAGTCAAAGCTTATGAATCCCTTGGAGGAAGTCCACCCCAGCAGGCGGCGCCTCCAGCCACTGCTATCAAGCCCCCAGGAACGGCAATCAACCCAGCCCCACCGCAAGGGGAAACCAGTCAAATTCCTCTTCCACGAGGCCAGGGTCCTCCACGTAGAGCAGACGGACAAGGAACCGGTCCAGCAGCACTGCGAAGTCTCCGCGGCGCCCTTGAGTCCAGCATTCCGCGCGGCGGTGGACGGGGTGGTGGTCAAGGTGGAAGAGGAGTGGGCGGTCAATCGCAACAGCCGCAGCAGCCGCCATCCGGTACTCAGCAATCACCGGCCGCTTCTCAGCCATATCCGCAGCCAGCATTTCAAACGCCTCAAATGAGTCAGATGGGTCAGATGTCCCCGAATCAGCAGCAGCAGCAGCAGCAAGGACTACCGCAACCCGTCTTTGGCCATCGCCCAAGTCTACCGGGCCAGGGACAACCCCAGTCTCAACCTCAATTACCTAGGCCCGGAATCTTCGGTGGCGGAAGAGGAGCCGGAGGTCCCTTCAACCCCAGTCAAGGTCGCGGTCGTGGAGCTGCACCGCAACTACAAAACATCCAGACCGGACACCCTCAACAAAACACCACCCCGTCCCAGCAGAGCCCAGGTCGTGGCATGAATCCCGTTGCGCGCCAATTCGTGCCTACGAAGCGCCTGCGGGAAGACGGTACAGAAGCAGAGGATCAGAGCTCAAACATAGGAAAGCGCATAAGGGGCGGTCATACCGGTCAAGCTTGATTCAGAGTTTGTTTTAACTACCCTATGTGGTTCTTTCGTTTCGAAGGCTTTTAGTTGTTTTTTTCTCCCCCCTCCCAACCCTTCATTTTCTACCTTTTGCTGTTGCATTTCAGACTGTATAGCCTGGTTGAGCTAAAAAAAAAAAAATCACCTTTATTTTTCCCTTTTCTCTTTTTTTCTCGATCCCTTAATTTCCTTTTTTTCGTTTTTCTTTTTCTCAACTGGTGTTTTATTTTGCCGTCATGCGTTCGTGGGTTGGGTTGGTTAGGTCATCACTGGTGCGAATAAGTGTAGTTTATATCAAAATAGTTTTCATCTTGTTTTTTTTTCTTTTCATTTTCTCACGGCATTCACTCTCTTCTATTATGTTGGCTTTAGCATTGCATTTGCAACCCGGGATTATCATTTCATAGTGTCCTTTGCGCTTGTCGGCACGGTGACTATTACAACTTGATGTCCACGATACCACGCGGTATTTATCGTGCGATATCACGGTGGACGTATCATGGGGGATTGATGGGTGGGTGGGAGGTGGTGGAAGGAGGAATATGACTTACGCTACCCGCGAATACTCTATCATAATCCGAACCCTCAGGTTTGTTTTTGTTTTTGTTTTTGTTTCTGTTTTTGTTTTTTCTTTTTCTTTTCTTGGCTACGTTTTTTTTGCTATCGCAGTCCCTCCACTTTTCGGTGGGATGAGTTAGTTAAATTGTTAGGATAGGTTAATCAAAATTACCCCTAGGATTTCCACGCTTATAATATTTATATCTCGCGCGCCGCAGTCCACTGTACTGCATTATCCTGTTTTTTTTTTAGTGGTGACATGATTTTATGATACTTTAATTTACAAATCCATACCATCTTGCCATCTAACTTACGAACGCAAGCGTCACAGCGTGTGGGTGATGGCCTGTGATGTGCGGAAGAATTATTTATATTTGGTTTGGGAAAACTGTTGTGTTTGGCTGTAGCCCTAATTGAGTGCAGTTATTTTGGTATCGTATCATAATATCATATTTCACGGTATCATACATATACGGACTTACCATTCCCACGCAACGCCCTTAAGATCCAAAGCACGCGAGAAGGAAGAATTGGGAATTTTTTTTTTTTTCCAAACTCCTCAAAGTAAAGTGAGTGACGGAGGTGGAGTGGATGGATGAATAGTCCATGTTATAGAAATTGGTAGGGGATAGATAGAGTAAGCAAGGGAAGTCGAGAAGAGCCATGGGCGCTCACTCGGCAGGTGGGGGTTCAAAAGCCCAAGCAACAAAATAACGATATGATGGGTAAACCGGGTTCCCTCCTCGAACGCCTCCTGAAGGAATTACGGGTAGCTAATCCGGAGGAGTGTAGGGATAGGAAGGTGTTTGATAAAACGCTAGAGGCAGACATTACTAAGGGGCAGAATCCGGTGACTTATTATTCCCGCTATCGACAAAGTTTTTATAGTTGTCAGGCGAACCAGGGGAAAAGAAAGAAAGAAGTTGAATCGGGTAGTGGGGATAAGTGTGCAAAAGCGATTATGGGGTCTATTTATCTATCTGTCTGGCTAGTGCTACACATACGGTATGTATACCTAGAGCGGAGAAAGGACCGGCAGTGGTACAGTATGGACTTTGGGAATGAATATAAGGGGAGGAGGAAAGGGATAGGTTTTTCGTCGGTAGTGTGGAGTTGGTTGTGGCTCTTGTGAGTTGGTATCGTATGATATGACTGTCCACTCATCCCTTTGTAGTGTGGGAAATGGAAGTGATGAGTTTTCCCTCGCTGACTTGTATCGGGCGGGGGTGGATTGCTGATTATGATTATTGGAATGCTACGAGTATGAGAAGCAAAGTGTTTATTGGGCACTAAAGTTATGGAGGAGGAGGAGGAGGAGGCATTGCATCGCATCGCATTGGATCCTGTTGACGGCCGGGCGGGATAGTTGGGTAATGCCGGTATTGGACGGTACTGTGCCGGTACCGCAGTGGAGTTTCACGTACGGCATATAATATATCGAGTTGAGAAGTCCAGGTATGCTCACGCACTGATTCGACATACGGGCGAAATTATCCGCGCTAGATTAGGAGCGCGGTAGCGATGGGATGATACCTTGAGGAGGTTCTCTCGACTGATACTATTGTACTGGCCAGTCAACCCAGCGTGAAGTATGGTAGGGGCTTCGGTGCTTCGGCAAGTACCCAAAAAAAAAAGCTAAGTATATTTTTATAAGACATCCACTTTTCGAAAAGCGCAGCGAACAAGACAAGTATCAACTACCTATGGAGTAAAAGCTGTCTGTAATTTTCGGGAGGTAACGGGGATATAATGGAAGTGATAGCCCATCGAGCTTGCCGGCACAGCAATACGCGAACAAATATAACCCGTCCACGTACAGAAAACAACCGTCAGTAGACTAAAAATAATCAGAGACTATCTCTTAACCCTTTTTGACCTCCTCAGCCCGGTATCGGCACCGTCTTCCTTGGCCGCCTTTGTTTTTCCTTTTGCCTCCTTTGTGCTTTTACCCTTCTTACTCCCCTCCACGCGGGCGCGCGCAGCAATGAATTGTTCTTCGGTGGGCTCCGGTGGGGCCACTTCTGCCTCTTCGTCCTCATCGTCCGGATCCGTAGCCTTCTTGCGCTTTGAGTTTGTTGTTGCCTTTTTCTTGGCCTTTGGCTTGGGCAGGTACTTGGCCTCAAGATTTGACATCATTTCTTCCATGCGATTATTCGATCTCTTCTGGATGAGGTTCCTAAGCCCACTAATATCGTCTTCCGCTGCATCCGCCTTCTTGGCCTTTCTTCCTTTCAATTTCTTAGATCCCTTATCAGCAGCCCCTGCTTCTTCGACATGCCCATTTTCGACGTCCTCAGCTTTAGCCTTTCCGTTACTAAATAACTCGTCGTGGATGCCAAGTTCTTTCGCGTACGCCTCTGCCTCACGCCTCTCGGCTTCGGCTTTAGTTCTTCGACGTTTTTTGGAGGCCTTGTTCTCGTGGGTAAAGTTCCTGAATGACTTGATCTGCCCCGCGTCGAGTGCCTCATTGATGATCTCTCTGAAGCGTTCTTCGTCCTCTAACACGTCTGAGCACATTACTGATTCAAAGATCTTGTCCATAGAGCCTTCGCTCGCCTGGTATGCGGCTATAACTGCCTGTTTCTCCTCCTCGGACCCTGTTTGTTTGGATTCAATTAGCTATCTATCTACCCGTCTATCCGTTGAGAAATATGGTCGCGGGGGGATGAAAAAAACAAACAAACCTTGGTACTCCTCCTTAAACTTCCTAAGACTCTCTGTCGTAATCAAGTCCGCCATTTGTGCTTTATAGAACGCCTTCCAGTCGAACCCACCCTCAGCGGTCTCACTGGTGCTCCCCGTCTCGTCAAACCGCTTCCGTCGCGTCTCATCCGAGAGAACTCCATATGCAAACGTGAGCTCCTGGAAGGCGACTTTTGCCGCGTCGCGCTCGCCTTCGGGGACTTTGTCCGGGTGCACGGTCAGCGCTAGCTTGCGATATGCGGAGCGGATCTCAGCATCGGTTGACGTGGTGGGAACCCCGAGGATCTCGTATGGGCTCTTGGTGATGGGCGGGGGTGTTCCCGAACCGGAGGAAGACTCGCTATCCGACATTTCGATGGACTCGGGGTGGTTTGCTTGATTTGTTTGCAGCGGTTGGTCGGTTGAGTGGGAGTGGGATTTGAGAGTTGTGCCAAAAGACTGAGCGTTTGTTTGACGCGCTGGTTTGTTACGTGTCACGTGAGAGTTCCTCCGGCGTGGAGCTTGGCGTAGCTTGGGCTTGGGCTAGGCATCCTCGAGGTCACGCATATATACGTACTAGGAGTATTCAAAGTTGAAAAACTTGAAAAAAAGTAGCTTACATTGCTGTTTCATGTAAGCTTGGCAGACACAAAAAGAGTTACATTACTCTCATTTTACTTTACCATATGATACCATACTTTTTTTTGATTAGATATGGAGGTTAGGAGGTCTAGGGGTATTCAAAGTTAAAAAGATGATTTTTCAGTAACAAGTAACTACCAGAAGGTGCATTAGGTTACTTTACAGTGTTAGCCAATCATATCCATATATTTCATGTAGCATATTTGAATGCCCCAAGGTAACTGAAGGTAGAGTGTATGATAGAAGTTTTCACAGATCTTATCGATACTGAAAATTTTCAGTATTTGTTAACAAAATGCCCAAGTGAATAGATTTTTATCAGAGAAAGCAGATAATTGTTTTTAAAGTATGCAATAATATTTTAAGATTTTCCTCTGATTTTTGAAAAATTTCTTTTTAGATCATCTATCATATTGAAGTTATGGTAGAGTTTAGTTAATACGAATTTTGGAGTAGATATGGACCTCCTGACCTCTAGGAGTATTCAAAGTTGAAAAACTTGAAAAAAAAAGTAGCTTACTTTGCTGTTTCATGTAAGCTTGGCAAACATAAAAATAGTTACTTTACTTTCATTTTACTTTACCATATGTTACACGTATGAACGCACAGACCGCCCCGCGCACAGACCTCCTGAAAACCATGAAGATTTCATAGCCAACACCCCCTCCGGCCCCGCCATTGGCCCTGCGCGTAGTAATAGTGTCACCGGAATTTGGTGTCCCGACAGTATAAACCGGTGAAAATGAAGCATGCTTCATAATACCGTATACGTTGTCGCTGTCCGTCCGACTAGAGGCTGTTCGTAGTATATATAAGAGGGGACCTCAGGCCGCGTCTGAAAAGTGGAACGGGGTCAATCGGATGGGTAACCATGGAGCTACGAGCTAAGCGAGGTTGACTACCTTGGACATGGACAGAAAGTGTTGGGACGAAATCGCCAACAGTCTAATGAGTTATCGGGACATGCCCGTAAGGACAAGGCACGGAGCCCAGTCTAGTGCTCGCACGGTATAGAGCCAACCAGAGGCCTGTCTGTGGATAAGGAACTTTCCTACATTGTTGAGTAGTCCAATCGTGGCGGAAAGTCCTCAAAGTCAATGTTGTCAAGTTGTGAAGACAACGAGGCATTTAATAAGACTCTTGACGAAGCTGATTACTCCAGTCAGAGTAAGGAGGATGGTGAGTTGGCTCGGAGCAAGACTACTTACTCATACCTAAACTTCCAAGACAAAGGAATCATGCGTTTTCGCTGGAGAGGTTTCAAACACCCTCATGGAAACACGATAACGCATGGAGACTGTAGTCCGAGCAAGACACATAGTTTATCAGGGTCAAATGGATTCCCCGCACGATAGTAGGAGATGGAAATTAGGAACGGTACATTGTTTGGTAGTAGACTCGGATAGATGTAGCCCGCGACCACCCAGATGCGGAATACAAATATCGATCTACTTTCTTAGCTTTCAGAACATCCTCTGTCTCCGCTACACCTCCGGTCATTGAAAAATATTTCCTAATCGGGAATGACTCAACACTGAGGAATCATCACCACTTTTCTATAGCCATGCACCCCCCTGCTGGGGGGTGCAGGCTGTTTCCTTCCATTCCTCTGCCCCTTGGGGCTTCTCTTCTACTCCTTCCCTCATCTAGTATCTCGCCTCTGCTGGATGGAAGTCCTCTCCTCAACCTGGGGGCCTCATCATGAGGTCTCTGTCCTCTCTACCCCACTTTTGCTTCACCTCGCTTAGTATCAGCACGGTCGGCTTTGGCGGATTGGTGATGGCTAGACGGTCAGTTGGGATGGTGGTTCTCTGGGCTATCGGGAGTAGCCTTGCCTACTCCTGTGACCCTAGTTGCAGCCTCCTGCTGTATTGTTTGGCTGGATCTTTGCTTCCTTGCCCTTTTTCTCTCCCCTCCTCTAGGATCGACTGGCACTCTACTGCCAGGATCGGCTAGCACCCTACTGCCTCGGCCTTTGGGCCCCATCTTCACTGAGGTGGTAGTGCTTTAGCCTACCCCTCCCACCTCCCCTCCGCGCCAGTATCACTTGGTGCTGCTCTCACTTCTGCCACCCTTGCGGCAGCTCTACAACTCTTTCCTGGCTCTGGTGTCACTACAGGCACCATCCAACCTTTTCTACAACCAGACTTCTCATGGCTGGAGTCTACCCCCTCCCTCCTTGGCAGTATCGGCTGCCCTCCTCTATCACAGGTTGCTGGCATCTCTCGCCTGTCTTCCTCTCTCCATGCTTGCGGCCCGCGCCCGGCCGAACAATCGGTTGGCCTACCTTAGTATTGCACTATCTCCTGGGCTGAGCTGGCTGGCCCTATCATGGTATTTCGCCAGGATCCTATTGTGGGCCTGACGGTGGACACATTCGTTCATGGACACCTGTAGAGGCACTTGGGGGTTTCCTAATCTATTCTTTCCTTTGTCGAGATGATGCCGAAGGGTTTTCTTCCCTCTGCTGCCTTCCCTGTAGAGGATGATTATTCCTGTGCGGGACACGATGTGCAGTTAGGCCCATACCAGAGGGTCTTAGAGGGGTTGTTTTGGTCCCTGGGGCGCAGGGGAATGCGTTTGGAATTAGATTTTGTTTTTGCCATAGCTAGCACTCTATGTAAGTTCTTGTACCTTAACAAAGAATATATGAGTTAAACAAAAAACAAAAAAACAAAATTCTTAGCTTTTAGAATCATCAGGGAACGGAGAAGAGATCTTATCAATATATTCGTTATACTTTGATACATACTTTTGTTACAAGCTTTCTTAACCACTCTCCGAGAAACCTTATTGGCACCAGTTACAATTCGTTTCACTTAGAATTGGCTGCCGCCTAACACCATACCATACTTTTTTTTTGGTTAGATATGGAGGTCTAGAGGTCTATATCTACTCCAAAATCCGTATCAACTGAACTCTACCAGAACTTCAATATAATATATAATCTGAAAAGAAATTTTTCAAAAATCAGAGGAAAATCTTAAAATATTATTGTATACTTTAAAAATAATTATCTGCTTTCTCTGACAAAAATCTCTTCACTTGGACATTTTGTTAACAAATACTGAAAATTTTCAGTATTGATAAGATCTGTGAAAACTTCTACCCTCTACCTTTGGTTACCTTGGAGCATTCAAATATGCCACATGAAACATATGGATATGATTGGCTAACACTGTAAAGTAACCTAATGCACCTTCTAGTAGTTACTTATTACTGAAAAATCATCTTTTCAACTTTGAATACCCTTGCTGCACGAGTACTGTATAGTACATTCCCAGCATCATACCTGTATCAACAGTTAAATTACAATATACTAGTAAATTAGCAACTAATGGGTTAACCAAGAAATAGTTTACCAGAGTTCAGACATCCAACGTATTACTAACAGTCCAGATAAACAATACAATAATATAATATACAAGCATGAACTATGCTGCCTCCCCCAATCCACTCAAAAAGTCCCGTTGAAAGTGATAGTATGTTTATCACAACCTACCTCTTCTGAGACTCGGAATCAAGAATCGAGACATATATCATAGGTCCTGTTAATATAAATTTCACTCTAGGCTCGAAGCTTTAGAACTAGTACAGAAAGCTATAGGATATAGTTTGAGCCTTACTCCAGTCATCCCAAACTACAGGTTTTCTCTCTGTAAGGAATCCTTAGTGAAACTTCATGATGCCGTTGCCTATTGCCAACTCCTGACTGCTTGTCTTTGTTATGATTGCTGCTCGCTGTTACTAGGCTAGATGCCATACTGTGTTCCTAAGTCACGAGAAAATGAGGAAAGTGTTGAATTTTCTAATTTGTTTCATCTATATATTCTCCTTGATAATATTGTATATTTCTCTACTTAGCATTATATCTAAACTACGAACCTTACTACAACTGAAGTATGTACTACATATATTTCATTTGATATTTTATGATACAATTAGGGAATTATGGCATGCTTTTCTTATCTGGTGTTCAGGTTTATTTCTTACATTTTATGTATCATCATACACAGTTATTAGTCATTTGATTTACAATTATGTTCTAATTATCCGCTCATACTACCTCAGATATATGCATGTTTTATGAGATTTCCTTGGCAGTTCTTAGGGTCAAACACATTCGCACTTATGTTTTTCCTACTTATGTCATGGTTAAACATGTCAACACTTATGTTTTCCCTTATATTTCCTCTTAGTTACATGAAGGATGCACACCTGTATAAATAGGAGTTACTACTTATTTTGCTTAAGAGAATTAAGGACAAGAACTACTACCAATCTACCTTCATACCAAACTCCTACTTACTTAACATGCCTGTAGTATACTCTCTTTACTACATTGTATTTTTGTACACAGTTATTAAGATAGTGCTATACCATACACATTTAAACAGAAAGTAGGAGTACCGGTGTGGAGGTGTTCTCCGGAATCTGTCGCTTGACCTGTATCATAGGAAGTAAAATAAAATAGAAAGCAAAGCAAGGAGGAAATATTCGGAGAGACCGATTCTGATTAAGTTATGATACTACTCTAGCCTCTAGGGCCATAGAAAACCCCATGCTCATTCCTATGGCTTACTCGAGTAGAATCTTGGGGCTTGAATTCCTATCTCTCATACGGGTAGTATCATGTGATCCATTGTTCTTTGTATATGATAGCGTGTTAAATTTGTACGAGCGCTGCCTATAGATATATCCGTCACGTGAGATCTGAGAGGCAAAAGCGGCACATTGCAACAAGCGGAATATCTTTTTGATGCCTCAACTGAGTATGATACCTCCTGGGTGACGGATATATCTATCGGCCGCGCTCGTACAGCACAGACAAAGGTTAACGCCTAAATATATATATATATATATATATATATATTTATCGGATAGGATAATAATATCTCAATTCGCAGTCTAGGGATTTGTATCATATGGGGAATTCAAACACCTCACCAGATATCCGTTCATCATATCATAAGGAGAAACGGGTTCATGGTGGACCATCTACACGAGGGAATGGGCCCGACTGTATTGTACAGTACTGAACTCGCACCGGCTTGTCAAAGCCCTCTTACATACCGATATGATACCTTGTAGGATTTCCGGTTTCGGTACTCGTAAATGGCCCCAGCAAGCTTACTATTCTCCATACGGGATTGACACAAGCGACTACCCCCGCCACCGGCAGACCAATAAGGTTTATTTCCTTCCCATCATGCAGTACTACCCCTATTGGGAACCTATTCATCATCTTTGACCTCTTCCCCATTCATGGTCACAATAGTCGTCCCTGCAGTTCTAATTGTCTGCCCTTTGTGGTACTCGAGCGCTTGATTACCGTATAATACGAGTATGATATTATACTCTACCAGAGGGTTACGGCCCAAGTCGGAATCCACGAGCGATGAAGGACCGACTCCCGGTTCTAGGAAAGGCTTGGCTCATGCAAGCCCCGCCAAAAAAAAAAAAGCCCCACCATAAACGATGTTATCAAAGCCCCTCCTCGAGACGTTCTTTAGCCTAGTCCACCCCGAACCCAGTGAGCTCGCCCTCCCCCATATTGTTCGCATATTGCCAGCTCTCGATCCCCTCTCGCTATCGGGAGGACAAATTGCCAAACTTTCATCTGGATCCCCGGAATTCGCGAAATATGGCTTCACCGGCCCCTGTTGCGCCGGGTTCCACCCCTCCCGAGTGCCCCACGATAGAGGACCGGCAAGAGGCCCCTATCCAAAATCGAGACACCTCGGGCAACTCCCTAGTTGGTCATTTCAGCTACCCGATTGAACAGGAGGAGCTTGAAGGGTCCGACGGCTACTCTAGCGACGACGATTTATTCGATGACGAGCTGAATGATCAGGATTGGATCGGTGGTGGTGGCGGTGACATTACAAAATCTTACAACAGGCAACGCGCTAGCGTGGAGAAGGGAGCTGCACCTGCAGCAGCGAAGCCAAATGCCCAGAAGCCGAGGGCAAACGTTACTGCGAGGATCGATGACCAGATCTCGAGTCTAGCAAAGTTTGCTTCACGCATCAAGTTGGGGGATCTGGAGGATGCGGCGGGCGGAGGCAAAGGCGATAGGTGTGCAATTTGGCGGGAAGCACTGGCAAGGCTCTGGGGTATGAGGCTAATTGCTCAATGCCAGATCCAATGACAAGTCGGATCGCGCTACGAGCGAGCAGGTTCTTGATCCTAGAACTCGTACCATTCTTATGCAATTCCTCAATCGAAGTATTATCAATACCATTCACGGAGTGATTTCTACTGGAAAGGAGGCAAACGTGTACTACGCGGTTTCAGATCCTGATCCGGATTCCGGGTCCTCTAGGTTACAGCATCGCGCTGTCAAAGTCTACAAGACAGCTATCCTGGTGTTCAAAGACAGAGATCGTTATGTCAGTGGCGAGCATCGCTTCCGTAATGGGTACAACAAGGGTAACAACCGTTCAATGGTAAAATTGTGGGCGGAAAAGGAAATGCGGAATTTAAAGAGGCTATATATGGCCGGCATTCCTTGTCCCAAACCTGTTTACCTCAAGCTTCATGTCCTTGTGATGGGTTTTATCGGCGATAAGCATGGACAGCCAGCGCCCAGGTTAAGGGATGCTGGCATCAATGATGAAGAGACCTGGGATCTGCTCTATCAGGAACTAGTCTGCCTCATGAGGACTATGTACCAACAATGCAAACTGGTACACGCTGACTTGAGCGAGTACAACATCCTCTACTTCGAGAAAAAGCTCTATATTATCGACGTTAGTCAGAGCGTAGAACACGATCATCCTAGAAGTTTGGAATTTTTGAAATCGGATATCAAAAACATCAGCGATTTCTTCAAGAGGAAGGGTGTCGATACCATCAACGAGATATCGGTCTTTGAGTTCATCACCAAAGCTGGCCTGGGGTCCCCAACCGACGGAGAAAGCGAAGGTGCGGCTACCTCAAGATACCTCAGGGAGCTTCCTAGAGGTGCTGGGGAAGAGGCCGAGGAACGTTTTTTTCGAGAAGCCTACGTGCCCAGAACTTTAGAGGAGGTTTACGACGTTGAGCGAGATGCTGAGAAAGTAGGCCGTGGCGAGGGCTCCGACTTGGTATACCGTGAACTTCTCGCCGGGGGAGATGAAGACGCGAATAGCGAGGACGAAGAAGATTCTGGAGAACAAACTGATGATAGCGATGAGGATGTAGGGAGTGACGGAACCGAGCATATTCACAAGAAGGATAGAGACATCAAACCTAGGGGAAAGAAACATGAAGATAAGGATGAGAAGAAGGTACCCTCCCTCTGAATGAATGTGGACAGGCGAAGTACTGACTTTTTGCAGGAACACAAAAGGAAAGTCAAGGAAGGCAAGCGAGAGCAAAGGAAGACGAAAATGAAAAAACACGTGAAAAAAAAGCTTGTTAATTCAAAGAGGGCAAAGTGATGGAAAGCGAAAAATGTTAGAGTGGGAGGGCTGCTTAAAGTCAGTCCTAGGTGTACATATCGGGAGCACCGTACCCGATAGCTCTGAGCTTCTGTACGCTCCGAGAAACCTTGGGCTAATATTGTAAGGCACTATTTGATGGGAGAATGTCGGTAACTTCTCATAAAAGGACTGCCGCCCTATATCATCTTGTGCCTGGAGCACATCTTGAAAACCTGTTATTCCTATCATAGCCACAATTTCACGAGACTACGATCTGCCATATTCTTGTGTTTCAAGAGGTTTTAACGACCGTGCTCATCACGACGAGTTCGTTGTGTTTAGCGATCACCCACGAAGCTCTGCTGGTATGCAGTGTAACATTCAGACCCAGATAAGATAAAAATGACGTTTACTCCAATCCATTTGTCCTCGAGGTTACAGCACTGTACCGTACCGTACAAGTACACCTGCCCCCCACGCTAGCTGCCAGCATACTGCGGGCCCAATGGGAATCCAGCTACCGTGCTGTACCGGTATGTCTTACAGGCACAACGGCTTTTTTTTTTGTTTCGAGCTGAAGGGATTGTTGCATTGGAGTGTTCTAACGAGTAGTTGGAAAATGATGGACTCGAATGCGCTTTGGAGCAGCTGCATGTTAAGGCACACCAGAGAAATGGTGGGGAAAGTGAGAATGAACGCGTGATGGTGGTGGAGTATCCTCCTCAATTGGCTGATAAAGGAATTTCCGAACTTACTCATGAGCCTTCCGTTAAAGCATAAGCCTGCTCGAGTATATGTAGCGGTCTCCTGTTAGAGGCTGCGAATACCGTAAGGTATCAGACCGGTATCATACTCGCGGTCGCTGTTCCCCCGGACGTTGGAAACTTCCGGCTACCAGTATGATAACATAGGAGGGGCGTCAACGAACAGGGGGGCTCAACGAACAATACACCAAAGAGGTCTTGGCAAACTGGAATTTTCTTTCCTCTGTTCGTTGAGTCCCCGTGTTCGTTGACACGCCTCCTGTATTACCAGAACCCAGTTTTCCATATCATAACAAAATGCTGATCTCCAACTCCGTACCATACCAGCCCCCCTCACAACAAACCCCGTCCTCCAAACTCTGATAATGTGAGGGGGGGGGGGCATCCGTGGGGAATTGAGCGTTATGCTTTTTTTTTTTTGAGAAATTGATTGACGGTCCTGAACACTCATGTACTCGAGTAGAGAAAGACATGAAATTAGATTACTTTGTTATGCGATATCTCCTATCATACAAATTTGCTGACTTGGCGTCGTCTATGGCAATCCTCTCAGAGACTTGGAACAACTATTCTAGTTAGATTTTAATTATGGAATAATTCGTGGAGTGGAGTGGGACGTTCAAATACTCTAGTATAGTGTGTGAGATTTTTTTTGAGGTAAACCCGGTGGGCAAAAAAAGTAGCAGGAATCTTTTACTGCTTATGACTGATCCAAGGGCAGGCAAGAGAGCAGGAGCATGAACAGGAGCTCGGTGGCTGTGGGCCGGCATGTCATTCACATGTAGCAATCCCTCTTATTTTCATTTCCCTTCTTTTCGTTTAACTTACCATACTCTACTCGTACTCTTTCCGTCCAATAATTCTCCGCTACCGACCAGACCCTCCTCCATATGATTTATTACCAGCACAGCACAACGCAAGAGACAACAACAATCTTTCCCCGTTTCCTCGAATCCAAGACAACGGCGGTCGGGAGACGACGATCCCAAGTCCTCCCACCCAAAAGAACGCCTTAGTCATTACTACCCTTCTGGACCCTGAAGGAGACTGACCGGAGCAGCTGCAATATTACGTAAAGTTCCATAATTAGGAGCACGATACTAGTTTTGTTGCCCTATATATTGTGCAGATAATGGTTGCTTCCCTACAGGTATGATAGTGTAAATGATAATCTCTTCCGTCTAGTGAGTCACTGAAAAGGCTGGACTTTTGATCTGATGACTACCCGTGATAGCTGCCACATCGCAGAGAGTTTATATCACAGCTTTTCGGGACTGGTGCACGGTTCCTGTTAAATTTTCTGTATTATACCTGGCGGTACGATCACACGAACTTGTTGCAAAAGCCAACTTGAAGGGCGATGTGGTATCAGTATCCTGTGATATGGAGGGGTGGAGGAATTGATTCTAGACTTACTAAGTGGGGTTTTGTGCTACGTATGCTCCTACTTTACCATCGAGCTAGAATTCTAGTCTGGTAAGTCTATAGCGGTGGGCTAATACTGACATTCTTTGAAGCCTCTTCAGGAACACACATTCCCCCGTATCTACCTACTAGGATATTACTGACAGTTATTAGTAGGATTGCAGGAAACCTTTAAGTCTAGAACTGTTGAGGGTCAGGAAGATAGTATCCTCAATAAGACATGGTAATACTTGACTTTTAAATTGTTTAGCAAAGTAAATTCTGTTGCTAGATATTGTACAAAAGTAAATTACAAGTATTTAAATAATAACTAGAAGGGAAGTTATGTCTTAAAATTACTGCTACAGTTGTAGAGGGTACTTCTATAATGGTAATATGTAGCTATGTTACAAATATGACTTACTCATGCCAAGGTTGTGACTAAGCATCACAACTCCTGGTTGCATGCTGGCTCGCAACCTGGGCACTCCTCCAGAGTGCCTGCCACTGGCAGCTCAATTTAACTTGACAGCTTAACATGACTTTTAGCTCAATATAACTTTTTTGTAGCTCAACACAACTTTTTTTACATCTTAATATCATATTACTAGCAATTTGTTCAAGTTTGTAGCTTAATAGATTTTATTTAGGCCCTGTTCAGCATGTCATGATAAAAAAATTGTGATTTTTCTTAAAACAGTATATTTCTGAATCTACAAATAGAATAAGA